TAGAACACCTGCTCTGACAGGTGACTCTCAAAGTCAAAGTCTCCTCATGTCAATCAACCCGACACCTGCTTTTAGGCAGAAACCTGCTGTGATTGGCTGCATTTCCATTTTTATATCGTATATGTACTGTATGTGTTTTACAGCCGCGCCTGGACACCAGTCAGCGACCCCTGGCTCAGGGACAGGATGGCGAGAGGTTGCTGACCGGCCTGTAGGCCCATGTGATGGATGGATGCAGGTCTAAATCAGCACATTGATGTTGGGATGAAATTGATGTCTTACCCCATTTTCTCCATCGGTTCCGATCCGAAATGAGACTCTGAAACTGGCTCCGTAATATTGCTGGATACCGGGAAAGTTTGGCAGGTCATCAGTCCAAGGCAGTGAAATGTTGATGTGGATGTAGTTTTCATATCCGACCAGTGAGACCTCTGGAGGACCTAATTTAGCTTGTAAACAGAAGAAAACACACGGTCACCTTTTGGTAAAGATTCAAAGTCCAGAGATTTTAGTTCAATCAAAGCCTGATGCATCTGGATTATTAGAGAGTAACTGAGTCGGTAAAGTTACTGTGTGTACCTGCAAAGTACCAGGTGAGTCACAGACACACTGAACCAAACCCAGCTGACATCTTTGAATACAAAGTAATCTCACTAACACTGTGGGACACACTTAAATCCAAATGCACCAGTGTGAAACCCAGAAGACACTCTCACTGACATACTTTGTTTGTAAGGGACAAAATCTATTATTTCGGACTCTGGAGACCAGGTTTGGTTGAAGAACGCTTTGACGTGCAGGTAATACTGGGACTCCCACTCTGGTAGCATCAGCGGCATCGATGTTCCAGATGTTAGGTTGCACTGGGGCTGCGTTGGTATGTTGCATTGCTGTTCCCATTCATTCCCTTCCTCACTGAACAACGACAAACAGAACATTTTAGATCAGAAGGAAAAAAAACGTAAAAGAAACATTTGCTTTGTGTGACGACTGTTTGCTCAAACAGCGACGATGAGCTGTTCATGTCTCAAATCCAGCTGGTCCTAGATTCAAACGAAAGCTGATTTCTGATTGGACGTTTACTGTCAGGTTACCATTCATGAATAAGAGAGGAGTTTAGATGTTAATTAAAAAGCTCAGAAGTCTGCTGCTTTGCTCAGACGCAGCTTTTCAAACCTAAGCCGTGCTGTCGAGGCTGTGACCTTTAACCTGCTGAGGCCTGTAGACGTGTTTCCAGATAAAAGATGATGCATTCAGGGTGCTTAAGACAGGAATATGACACAACGCCAATATTTCAGAGCTAAAACAGGAAAAGTGA